AGGAGGAGGAGGAGGAGGAGGAGGAGGAGGAGGAGGAGGAGACGATTATGAAGAGCAATTAGACCTTCTTCAACATGCAGCGCAAGGAAGAAAGAAAGAAGTGAGTACTGTTTGATGTAAGGAAATGAGAAATAGGGGAGAAATAAACAGTAGTAATGGGTGTACTTGATACTAGGTGTAACATAAATGACACCGTATAAGAGAAAAAGAATTGCTGTTAACGTGAAAAGGACGTCAGAGCATAGCAGAAACACAAATAGTGAAATTGAAATAAAAGAAGGTAAAGAGATGAAATGAGGTGATAAGGACAATTGAATAAGAAGAGAAAGAAGTTTTGAAATGAAGAAAGACGATATAGAAGGCAAAATGATACAAAGGGCATAAAAAGAAGTGATAAGTGACAAATTTATCCTACCTGAAGTGAGTAATGTGAGAAGCGATATAGAAGGCGAGATTGGCGGTTGGAGTTGTTGGGAAATCATTGGCATCCACGCTTATCGAAGAATGGTCCAAAAGAAGGAGACAAACCGTGGTTGAAGTAAGATGCTGGACGTAATTGTGATGAAGAAAAGTGGAGTAGAAAAGGGAATTAGCCTTTTGCGGAACATATCAAGCGGGTGCAGTCAATACACAAAGAGGAGGAAAATGAATAACAAACGCGACGCGAAGGTGACTGAGAGCAGTCGCTTGACGGTTGTTCAGATGAACAAGTAGAGTAACTAAGGTATATATTAAAAATCGCTAAAAAGGTAAAGAAAAATGAAAAAATGCAGCAATAAACAATAAATAAAGCTAAAAGAATGCTTGCGGTTTGCAATTAAAAACCTATACGTTGGTATAATGATAAATGAAAGAAAATGAATAAGGAAATAAACAAAGGGAAAGGAAAGTTAATACGAAAGCAAATAAAGAGGGAAGAAAGGTTAATTTTTAAATAAAAGGTGAGATGTGAAATAAGTAATGCAAAAAAACGCTTAATAAAGCAAAAGATAGTTATTGGAAAGCAAAATAGTGAAGAGAAATTAAGGAAGTAAGTAAAATAGTAATAGTGATACAAAAGCAATAATATAAGTGAATAGAAGAGGAAGAAGCAATCTACACGGCCTCTATTGATATATATAATGTAGAGAAAGCAGGACATGGTTGCTAAGTAAGGTAATGGAGCGTGCACATGTAGAGTAGTGTCAATGGCAGATAGGAAAGTAAAATAGAGTCTAAAATAAAGAGTAACTGCTTAGGGCTGTGAATAATGGTAAGGAAGAGAAGTGAAGAAGAAGTAAAAAAAGAAGAGAGAAGAGTAGGAAAGGAAAGAAGAGAAAGACAAAAAAGAAGACAGGCGAAGGTGTATGTGTAGCGTCCCGAGACTCCCTGAAGGCGAAAGAAGACACAATATTCGGGCAGAATATCTATATTCAGCACGGAGAAGATGTCTGGGCTATTGGCATGGCCCAAAAGGCCAGCCCCACCCAGCTAGGTACAAGGGGGCTAATTCAAAGTCCAAAAATGGCGCCTCACCAGAACCGAGGAATAAACCACTATCGCATTACATATGTGATGAGGATAAATAATGAGAAGAAAAGTAATAATAATAGTAGTAGAAGTAATAATAGAAAGACAGGCAGATAGGCATGGAAAGGATGTGGATTGGTAGTGAAAAGGGGCAATGAAAGGCAAATGGTAGGTGATTAATGGGAGCAGAGAAATGGACATGTATGCACTTGTGTGAAAGGGTATATGCATGTGTGTATTGAGGAGTAAGGCATACAGGGCAGTGAACAGATAGAGAGGAAGAGTAATGAGGGCTACTCTAACAGTGCGAGTAGTGCTCTAAAGGAGAGGAAAGCAATACCAGTGCGTAGAGAGGCAAAGAAGGCTGTTATAAAGGAAAATACGTGGAAAACAATAGGAAAGGATGAATGGAAGATAGATAAATGCAGTTTGTATGAATGAATAGATACAGTAGAAGACATCTAAGGCATTAGCAAGTGGGAGCATCAGGTACACTTAACCGCGGAGTCAATAAGGGTGCTAACGGCACCCACGTCCACCGTAGTGACCTCGCTGCTGCGACACCGACCCCGCCAAATGACGCGCCCGCTTCACCTCTTGCGACTGGCACTGCCGACGTGACCTTGGGACCAGCCAATGGGGTGCGTCAATGCTACTATGGATGAAGTACAGCAGCTACGCGTGCCTTCATACTATTCTTAGCATCCCACAGTAACACATAACCCAACAAAGGTCGAAGGCCGCAATGACCCACTGAAGGTTAGCCTAGTGACCTTTACAACATCCAATGGAAATCATCTACCACATGCCGCCCTAAAACTAAGCAATGCAATCATTCCGTCAAGGGAATACGTAAGTTCCACCACTCAAACACCCATATAACATTAACGGTCGAAAAGAGAGGGTCAAGGACTACTCTAACACTGCACCTGTGCCTAATAACCCACCTTGCTAATGTATTCTATGCCTAAAATCTCACCAATTCGCTCATACAAACTGCTTTTGCCTATCTTCAATTCA